ATGAGACGGGGGAGGGTCAGAGGGAGAAGCAGACTCCCTGCCGAGCAGGGAGCCCGATGCGGGACTCGATCCCGGGACTCCAGGATCATGACCTGAGCCGAAGGCAGTCGCTTAACCGACTGAGCCACCCAGCCGCCCCCTGGCATGTTTTAGATGCAGCGCAGACAGCTTAGGCGGCCATCTCCCGGTTAGCAAGAAGCAAGAGGCATCGATGGGAAAGGAACAGCAAAGCAGACCGAGAGGACTCCCCAGGAGTGGCGGACAGAGAGGTCCTATCCTGACTGCACCAGTGCAGGCCAGCTGCCCCCTCACAAGTGCCCCCTTATGACTGTTGCAACAATAATGTTAGAAAGAACTCGCCTCACTCCGCCCTCTACCCTCACACGCCAAGACCAGCGGGGCTGAGGCAGCTGCCTGTGCCCTGCGTCTTCTCCATCATCAGCCGTGGTTTCTTCCACTGCTGTCTGTGGGCTGTTCTGGCTGCCCTCAAAATATATTGCGGGCGCCTGGGTGGCTCAGTTGGTTAAGCGACTGCCTTCGGCTCAGGTCATGATCCTGGAGTCCCGGGATCGAGTCCCGCGTTGGGCTCCCTGCTCGGCAGGGAGTCTGCTTCTCCCTCTGACCCTCCCCCCTCTCATGTGCTCTCTCTCATTCTCTCTCTCTCAAATAAATAAATAAAATCTTTAAAAATATATATATATATTCCATGTGTGGGCCGATGAGCTCCTTCCTTCATCGTTTGCAAGTAACATCAGGCCCACCCGTTCTCCGTTGTGCCGGTGAAATGCCGAACTCTCCAGGCCTGTTTTTGTCTCACCGGGGTCTCATCTGACCTGCCAGAGGTTGACTTTTAGAACCCAAGTCTTCATCATTAACAAGAGGCACATGCGGAAGAGGCAGAGTTGTCTTCTCGGCCCCGCAGCTGCATACAATCTGTGTCGTAAATCTAGTTCCCGGAGTCTGATGGGAGAAAGCGTGAAAGAAGGCATTTCCAAGAACGTCCCCCCGTGCGCTGTGGGAGTAGCCCTGTGTGACTTGTGCGTGGGATAAAACCCAAACGCCCCCCTGCCGCAGACCCTGCCTGGCCATCCGCACCTGCAGCTACATCTTCCTGCCTCCCCCCTTGCTTTCACTTGCTCTCCACTCCAGCTACAGACTCAGACTCGCCCTCCTCTCTCTTGGCACAAGGCTTTTGCACATGCTGTTCCTTCTCCCTGAAACACTCTTCCCTGCATTCTTTATCTAGTTAAATCCTCTCATCCTTCAAGTCTCTGCTCAAACTTCATGTCCCCTGAAAAGCCTCCTCGGAGCCTCCTATATTGGATGCTCTCGTGGATTCCTATACTTTTACTTTGCAGCATTTACATGTTTACATTTACTTTTGTGGTTATTGCAGTAAACTGTTCACCCCCTTTAAGAAAAGAAACTCTGTCCGTGCAGGGGGCTGACCAGTAGCATGCTCACGAATGTGTTAACAAGCAGCTATGGGTGTTAGCCTAAAAGCAAATGTCAGTTATTTTACCAGCAAAAATGGGTTTATTTGGGAATGGCAGAGATTGCAGTTTGGAATACATGAACAATGGCAAAACTAGAGGCAAGTCCAGAGAACAAAGGAGAGGAATATTATTTTACAGAGAAGGAGGAGGAAGTTGGGATCGGTTGTTCTGAATGAAGGTCCATTGGAGAAAAGCAAGAGTCCAGGCTGATGGTGGTTTCTCATTGGCTGAGTTGCTGAGTTGTCAATTTCTTGCAGAAGATTCAATGTACATCTTCTCCTGTTAGGGCCTCTAGTTGATCAGTCTTTCCCTTGGGGATTCTTCCTTGGGGTCTGTAATTGACAATTCTCCCTGTAATTGACACTGAGTGGTTCAGTTTCCCCTTCCAGCCTCCCACTGGACTTGAGTGAGGTTTCCCTTTATTAATTTTCAAAGGGGTAAGGCGTGTGTGTAAGGGGACACTGATTGATAGCTCTTGATGATTAGTGTGGCCTGTCTCAAGCCGCCAAAGTGATTTCAACCATTTGAACACCTGACGCCTGCCAGCTGGTATGAGCCAGCTCCAGCACCCCACTGCTGTCAACACCCCAGCACAGGTTTGCTGAATGAGTGAATGAATGAATAAATGAATGAAATTAATCCCACAGAAATAGCTTCCCCTATCTGTGCCTATTCATGGCACACTCTCATTTGTCCGCTGCAGATTTTTTTCTTTAAGATTTTATTTGACAATTAACATAAGAATAAAAAAAAAGAGTTTAACAGAGAGAAAGCACAAGCAGGGGGAGGGGAAGGCAGAGGGAGAAGGAGAAGCATACTCCCCGCTGAGCGAGGAGTTGGATGTGGGGCTTGATCCCAGGACCCCGGGATCATGACCTGAGCCGAAGGCAGATGCTTAACTGACTGAGCCACCCAGGTGCCCCTGTCCGCTGCAGATTTTTAAAAAAACAAAACTATGATGTTTTCATCAAGCAAAATGTATTCACCATAAAGGAATATTCTTTGGGTACAGCCCTCCCACTTTTTCCTGGTGTTAAAACATCCTTTCTTGCCTGTAATTAAAGCTTTGCTGACTGTGAGTAGTGACTCTTTAGTGGTTCATGAGATCAATTTAGAAGGTCATGACAAGCATCTTTTAAATTGAGTAGAAGAGAAGGAAAATTTCAGAGTACCAGAATTTGTCTTGGGCTGTCAGGAAGTATTGTTTTGGGAGACTTCTGTTGTGAGCCTGTGTTCATCCTGACTTGTGATATAAGGTGACTTTTTAGGGTCAAGAAAGTTTGAAAACTATTGGGATTAAAAGCAATGCTCTTTAAAAAAAAATAATAAGCTTTATTTTTAAAGCAACTTTACGTTTGCAGCAAAATTGGATGAAAACTACAAAGATTCCCCCATAAAATCCCCATTTCCACACAGACACAGCCTCCCTGTTATTAACATCCCCTGCCAGAGTGGTCCGCTCATTACAATCAAACCTGCAACAACACATCGTTATCACCCAAAGTACATAGTTGACATTACAGGTTACTCGGTGTAGAGTACATTCTGTGGGTCTGGACAAATGCATGACATGGACCCATCAGCGTCATATCATACAGAGTAGTTACACTGCCCTAAAGTCCTTGGTGCTCTGTTTTTTAGTGCTGCCTGATATTCCATTGCCCGGATATACCACGGCTTACTTATCCAGTCACCCACTGAACAACATCTTAGTTTTTCCAAGTTTGGGTAGTTATAAATAAAGCTGTCATAAACATCAGTGCAGGTTTTTGTGTGGACACAGTTTTTACCTCCTTTGGGTAAACACCAAGGCGTGTGGTTGCTGGATCATGTGGTAAGAGTGGGTTTAGTTTTGTTAGAAACTGACCAACTGTCTTCCAAAGTGGCTGCACCATTTTGCATTCCCACCAGCAGTGAATGAGAGTTCCTGGTGCTCCACATCCTCACCAGCATTCGGTGATGTCGGTGTTTGGGATTTTGGCCGTTCTAATAGGTGTGTAGCGGTATCTCGGATTTACATTTCCCTGATGACACATGACGTTGCACATCTTTTTACAGGCTTATTTGCCACCCGTATATTTTCTTTGCTGAGATGTCTGTTCAGGTCTTTGGCCCATTTTTTGATCAGATAGCAATGCTTTTTCATTTAGTGGATTTGTTTTGTTTTCCATGTCCTTACTTGTAAATTTTTTTCAAAAGCAAGAACACTACATCAGACTTCATATTTTTGTTGCACACTTTACCAGTTTCTGAAAAAAAAAATACCAAGTAAAAAAACCCAAAAAACAGAACAATCCAGCTTTCCCAAGACCTCAGGGACCAAAGTTTAAGTTCACTGAGCTCTGAGAGATGATAGATGATAGATAGATAGATAGATAGATAGATAGATAGATAGATAGATAGATAGATAGATAGGAAGACAGAGGGATAGGAACGTGTCTGGCTTGGGGGCCAGGGAACTTCTGTTCTGGTCTACCTCTTCCCCACCCCCCTACAATGCCCCTAGGCTTTCATGTTTGTGTTCATCCCAGAGTCATGGGACCCTTTTCAATCTAGCTGCCCCCACCTGGTGACAGCATGAGCAGGGCAGGGAGCATGATGGGGCTGATGCTTGCTGTTCCAATCCTCCCTCCATGCAGGGGACAGCCCCTAGCTGGCCCTTAAGAACGGAGGTAAGGGTTGGGGGAGGATTGGAGACAAAGCCAGACCCAGGCCATGGGTGCGCTGCCACAAAACCACTCTAGATTGTAGCTGGCTGAACAAATGACATTGTCAGTCACTTTCCGTTTGCTGCCTGGAGCCTTGCACTAGACACTTTTATCTGCATGAGTTCGTTACACCTGCCCCACAGCTGTGTGAGCCCGCGTGCGTGCGCAACCATGATGGGGAGCAGAGAAGCGTGGGGCTGCCGCAGCGAGCCTCATTTTCCAGAGAGAAACAGCTCCAGGAGAGAGCGAGATCCCTTGGACAGGGTCACACAGGCAGGAAGCCACAGTCATGGCTGGAATCTGAGCACTGGAGAATCATATACAGGTAACCGCTGTGCCCAGCTCCCTCCCAAAGACTTCATGATGGCCCTGGGGTGGCAAGAATGATAGTCTAGTGGCTGACTCTTATGGGGCACCTATGTGAGCCGAGCTCCACGTGCTCCGTGTGCCTTAGAAAGGTTGTCTTCAGAAGGTGTGTCTGTTGTTATGCCCATTTTACAGAGGAGGGAATCGAGGCACGGAGAAGGCACCGTCACATTGGAAAGAGCAGACAGGGAGCAGAGCTGAACCTTGAGCCCTCTGAGCAGGTGCTCAGGGAGGGCAGAGCGAGCTTCTGTCGCCAGGGTTTGTGCTGGGCACCGGGGTGACGGCTGTGACCACAGCAGCCTCACAAACATGAAAGCCTCAGGGAAAGGAAGAAAAGCAGGGTGGCGGGACTGGGAAGGGGTTGTGGGGCAGGGGGCAGGTAACTCCGTTGGGGTGGGCAGGGAGGGCTGCTCGGAGGAGGGGACTTGGCTGAGACCTGAGGGCTAAGAGGGAGCCCGGCTTGCAGAGTTCTTGGGGAAGGGTGTCTCAGGTAGAGGGACGAGCAAGCACAAAGGCCTCAAGACGGGAACAAGTTAGGTGTGTTTGAGGAACTGAGAAAAGGAAGTGAGACTGCGAAGGCAGAGAGGGAGGGGAGAGCAAGGTTCGGAAGGGGAGAGGGTTTCTAGGCAGCCCCAGGAGACTCAGGAGTGGAGGGAGGGATGTGGGGCGTGGTCTCCAAGGCAGGGTTCACTGCCAACCTCTCCTCCTGGGTCCTGAGGAGTCCAAACACCTCTTCCCCTTCTCCACGCAGGCAGTCTGCACTGTCCACTTCCCCTGCAAGAGCTACAGTCCAACCCCAGCTCCCCCATTACCGCAGGGCTCATGGGTCCCTTCTGAGCAGGAAGACAGGGCTCTTGCATGCAGTCCTGCCTCAGACATTCATTCGTTAATTCCTCTGTCCACTCGCCCATCAGATGTGGATTTGCCACAGGTCTTTTGCTTTTGCAGGTCCCTCTGCCCGAAACATAGTCTTTTATCCTGCAAGGCTCTGCTTCCAATGGCGCTTCTTCCAAGATGCCTTCCCTGACCACCCCCAGCTAATTTAGCCCCCTTATCACCCTGTGAGCAACTGTACTGCTCTTCATGATAAAACAGGATCGGTTGGTGCTCCCAGGCGCCCTCTCTATATATGTAAGAGATAGATCTACCCTTCTCATTTTTCTTTTAGGAACCATCCTTCCCTTCTCTTTGCGTGATTTGTTTGTGTCAACCCCGTTCCCGAAATAAGCATATCATCCAGGTAAAGGCAATGAGAGACAGCTGCAGGACTTTTGCTGGAGCTCCCGGAAAGCTAAGTTTTGCTCCACTCTGCTTGCTTACCTGGTGGGCTGCAAGGTTGGAGCTGCTGGGGGAGGAGAGGACCTGCTGAAAATGAAATCAATATTGAGGGAAGAAAAGGTGAAAGAAGGAGAGATGCACAGTCCTGAGTGGATTGTTTGAGCACCTGGATTCAGCCGTACCTGCAATCCAAACTCCCCCCCAGACTTTTCCATTATAAGAACCAATATGTTCCCTTTGTGCTTAAGCTAGTTTGGGTTTCAGTAGCAATAGACAGTCTAACTGATAATAAAGTCTTGAAGATATGCAGGCAGTCAAGCTTAGGTACTTTCCCCTTGACGGATGTGGGCTGGGGCTTCCCTCATTCAGAAGCCACGCCCCCTCTAGAGTTTCCTTTTCTACAAGGCCTGAGTGTTTGGGATTCGCTCAACCTGAGGCAAAAAAGCAGAATCCAAGTGTGAGGCCAGAGAGGGGGTCACTACAAAAGCAGCCACACAACCAGCAGCAGGAACTGGGAATCTGCATTGTTAATAAGCAAATCCATTTGCCTTCCCTCTTCTGGGTGGGCTGAGCCCTGATTTTATTAGCTTGTTTTTCTTAGCTCTGTCCATGTGTTCAGGGAAAGTATGTAAGCCAGTCATGGTTCTCTCGTCTCCTGGTCAGTGACTGGTTCTGGAAGAAGCTGTGACTAACCACTTCCCAGCAGACTTATTCTCACATGTGGGGATTCCTGGGGTAGAATGGTTTTGCTCCTAAAAAGTAACGCAAGGGAAAGAAACTTCCCTTTTCTGCCTCCCACAGAAAGTACAGCCCTGTGAGGAGGCACTATTTGACATTGGATTTGACTTTCTGGAACTCTTCATCTGAAGTAGAATCATGGTAGACTCTGTGTCTAGTTTTCCCCTCCATCCGTGTGGGAGGAAAAAAGGGGGTGCCATTCACACTCGACTGGTTTAACAAAGAAAAAACTCACAAACATTTAGCCTTGTCAGAATTTACATGTAGATTCTAAGTATTATTCCCAGGGCAATAAATTATTAAGTAAGACAAATCAGAATTACAGATTTTGGAAGGTCAGAGCTTCCTTTCACAAGATGTACCCATCTGTGAAGTCCCTCTGGCCTACAGAGAGTATTTGCAAGAGGAGTTTTATGATGCTGAGGAGTGTCTGATTTTCTGCAGCTGCGAAGAAAGATCATTTTTCTACTTATCTTTCTGCAATTTCTTCGACCAGCACTTAGAAGAGCCCTGTAAGTACCAAGAGCGAAACCAGAGAGGCCAAACACTTAAAATAGGGGAGGGAAATGGGCAGAGTAGGATTTTAGCAAAAGGAACTTAAGGTTGTAATGTTTCGCATCTGTAGGAAATGATGGCTAGAACTGTAGCAGCCATATTGCCACCTTGAGGGATGACGCTGCCCACGTGCCAAGGAATCTTAGTCCATGAGAACACCATTCAACTGAAGCAATGACCACTGTAGAACCTCCCTATCTTGGTGAGATTCGTTGTTTTATAAAATAATAGAGGCCTTTATTTTTTTAAAGATATTTGGCATCTCTTCTTCCCTTACTTGCATCCCTACGTGATGCCCCCAGAGCGAAGGATGCCCAGGAGACAGCAAGGGAACTTCAACAGTATGGCCCATGCAGTGCTCAGACGGCTGCCCTCGCCAGGCATGGTCCTGGCCGTCCACATGAGATCCCTTCCATTCCCTCCAGGCCCAGTTGCTGTTGGCATCATAGGGCTGATTATGGTTCCTGTATTCTGCAGAAGGGCTTGGTAATTGTTTTTCTTTTTTAACTCTAGCCACCAACCCATAACATTTAGCTAAGGTCACTCCCAGAACATACATGTCATCAACCCTGATAATTTAGCAGTGACGGTAGAAAAATATCAGAACCATGATCGCCTTTGGGCATGGGGTGGGGATTACCTGGGCAGGGTAATTTTGTGGGGTGATGGAACTGTTCCTTCCCTGTACAGGGGTTGGTATGACGCAAATATGCACCCATCAAAACTCAGCAACATGCGTTTAAGATATGCGCATTTCATCGTATGCAAATTTTACCTCAAAAAAGAACTGTAGACATCAAATTTCAATTAGTGATGTGCATGCTGAAATGTTTAAGAGTTAAAAGTGCTGATGTCTGCTTTAAAATCCTTCCCTTGAACTCATTTAAAAATCCAACGAAGAAATCATAGGCTTGATGAATGAACAGAGGACAGACTGAGTATGCAATAAAGCAAAATGTAGAAAAATGTTAACAATCATAGAATCTAGATGATGGGTACATGGGTGTTATGGTAAGATTCATTCACCTTCTCGGTAGGTTAGAAAGTTCTCCTAACTCAGGGGCGCCTGGGTGGCTCAGTGGGTTAAGCCCACTCTTGATTTTGGCTCAGGTCATGATCTCAGGGGTCCCAGGTTGGGGCTCCACGCTCAGCGGGGAGTCTGCTTGTCCCTCTCCCTCCATCCCTCCCCCCGCACTTCTCTCTCTTCTCTCAAATAAATACATAAATCTCTCTCTCTCTCTCTCTTTTTTTTTTTAAAGAAAGTTCTAATTCAATGTTGGCAGTGGAGGGGAGGAGGGGAAGCCTATGTACAGAGAGTAGGAAATCAGGCCCACTGCTGTGGCAGATCCTCAAAATCGTGATGGCTCACACCAGGCGGAAGTCTGGATCTTTCTCGGTGATAGCCCCCAGGCTCTTCTCTCCTACCGGGGGGGGGGGGGGGGGGGCACTGCCCGGGGTGTGGTTCTCAGTGTGCAGCCCCCAGGCCCATGGTCTAGGCCGAGGGAGGGGAAAGGCCAGAAGGAGACATGGAGATCTGCCTGCGATTGAGAGTTACGAGGATAACTAAGAGAGAAGCCAAAAGTGATGATAGTGATAATTATAACAAGAGCCAACATCTGCCCTTCCGACGCCCAGGCCCTGCTCCAAGGGCTTTACAGGATTTCATCCACCTGTTTCTGACAACCCGGCGAGGTAGGTACTGCTGTTGTTTTCATCTACGGATGTGGAAGCTGAGGCCCAGGGAGGTGGACGGTGTCCTTACCTCACGGGGAGGCCTGGTGTGGATCGAATCCTCATCCCCCGCAGCCCCCCGCAGCCCCGGGGCAGGAAGTCAACGGGGAAGGGCTTTGTGGGTAACACTGATGTATCAAAACCCGGAGGCATCAACATCTTGTTTTTGTTTTGTTTTGTTTTGTTTTTTAAGATTTTATTTTATTTATTTGACAGAGAGAGAGAGAGACAGCGAGAGAGGGAACACAAGCAGGGGGAGTGGGAGAGGGAGAAGCAGGCTTCTCGCAGAGCAGGGAGCCCGATGCGGGGCTCGATCCCAGGACCCTGGGATCATGACCTGAGCTGAAGGCAGACGCTTAACGACTGAGCCACCCCCAGGTGCCCCCATCAACATCTTGTTAAGAGATGGGGAGATGGTGACGGAAGGGTGCTGAGCAGCCGTGAGGACTGCCTGCCGGCCTCTGGAGGCCAGGAGTGGTCCGCACGGGCACACCCACCCGCAGGGGCCTGTCCCGGCGACAGGCCAGGTCTCCAATCCGCCCTTGAAGACAATAGAGACAAGAGCCCCATGGCAGACGTTGAGAAGCCTGTGCTCTGGGCCAGGAGCTGTTCTGAGTGTTACAGGACAGAGAACCGGTTCCAAACTCAGGTTCTTCGGCTGCTTGCCACTCAAAAATCAATACTTGAGAGACAAGTGATGGTGGGAAAGGAAAAGTTTCTTTATTCAGGGAGCCGGCAACCTGGGAAGACGGTGGATGGAAGTCTCAAGACCGTGCTCCCCATCCGGGGTGGGCCGGGGGGAGCCGGAGGGTTTTACCAGGGAAGTTGTTTCCAATGCGGTCAGGCCTTATCTCCGGGGAAAGTTTGGTCTTTCACTTCTCAAGGCAAGTGATCTGCAAATCTCAAGGAAAGTTGGTTCTGTGCAGAGTGAGGGCCTTAGGTCCGCAAGCAAGCAGCACGTAAATGTGAAGCAAGTCCTCCTTTGGGACCTGTCGGAATGCCGTGGCCTAAGCACCACACGGCCTCAGCTTACTCGATCCTCCCAACAACGAGGACGAGGAGGGGACACGGAAGCATGGCGCGGAGATCCCAGGAAAAGCCATTGCACTGGGGACTCCCACGAGACGCTGTGGCCCAAAAGGACCCCTGCAGACTAATGCCAAATCAAACAGCAGACTGCCCCAAGGGTGGACAGTTACTTGACTCATTTCCAGTGCCCTCGCTTCAAATCTCAGTGGCGGAAGCCACAATGTCCATGTAGAAGTGCTGAGAGTGTCGGGGGCGGGCGGGGGGGGACACACAGCATGGAGGAGCCAATGGGCACTCGTCTCGATCTGCAAAATGGGGATAATTAGGGCATTTATTAGAGAATCTACTGAGGCTGGGGAGCTTCCGTGTGGGGAGAACTCGGGGCACAGCAGACCCTCTCTAATGCCAGCTATTGTGAGCACTGTGATTATTGCCTTGATAGAAGTAGAGGAAGGAAGGAAGGAAGGAAGGAAGGAAGGAAGGAAGGAAGGAAGGAAGAAGAAGAAGAAGAAGAAGGAGGAAGGAAGGAAGGAAGGAAGGAAGGAAGGAAGGAAGGAAGGAAGGAAGGAGGAAGGGGGCAAGAACGCAGGAAAGAGGAACAAGAAAGAAGAAAACATTTTCTCATTCAAGAGGAAGGAAGGGAATGAGGAGGGAAGGGGGGTTGCAGAAGAAGAAACATGAAGCAGGTGGAATGTTCCCAAAGATTCCCACAAACAACTGGAAAAAGAGCTTTGTCCTTCATGGGGTAGATGGCAGGGTCCCAACCACACAGCCGAGGAGGTTTGCCGAGTGGGTTAAGAGTCCTCCTGGATCCATTTCCAGCCCTGCTGCATCCCAGCTGAGGCAATGAGCACCTGACCTTCCCCCTCTGAGCCTCAGTTTCCCCATACTCGCAGGTTGCCATGAGAAGCTGATGAGCCCATGTAGCAAAGCATGCTCGCTGTCTTTGTTAAGGGTGGGCAGCCATGCCTGGAGCCCGCTCTGGGGATGTCATTACATTTACCCAGTTCTCAGTTGGCTGACAAATCAAAAGGATATAAATAGCCATGTTTGGTTTCTCATAAATGCATTAAAAATGCCTTGGCATCTTGCCCAGGCTCCCTGTCAGGGTGGTGGGCAAGGACTGTTTTGCAGAGATCTAATGGGTGTCAAGGTCATGGGCTCAGAAGGAACTCCAGCTGACCAGCGGTACCAGGTGTCGTCTCGACCAGCCCACGCCCTCCTTGGCACAGGCTCACGCTGCCACTCTGGGCCTTGGCAAGGCCCGCCGGGTGACTCAGGCCCGGCCACTGCCTGTTTGCCTGGACTCAGCCCTCCAGCCCAGCCTGCATTAGGTCAGTCTGTTCACAAGTGGGTTCTGGGAAGGCTGTGCCAGGCGGCGGGTGGAGGGGCAAGCAGGGAGAGGCAGATACGGCGAACGGAAAGACTGGGCTGTCCTGGGGCCTCCCTCCATCTTTTTTCATGAACTTCTCGGAGGCTGACCTCACCCCTGGCTCAGGAGGCCCTGGGGGCAGAAGATACAAATTCTGGACTCCACTGTCTGGGTTCAGTTCCTAGCTGCCCCACATGTGACCTTAGGCTTTTTTACCCTATCAGTGCCTCAGTCTCCCCATCTGCAAAATGGATAGAATAGCAATGCCTACCCCATAGGGTTGCTGGAAGGTTTAAATGATTAAATGGATATTATTATTACTATTACTATTATCATTATCTCCTGAAACAGTGTCAGGCACAGAGTATCTGCTCTGACTAGGGCTTGCTATGATTACGACTTTTCTGAGCAGCCTGGTTGGGTTCAACTCCCAGCCTCACCACTCACGAGCGCCTGGATCTAACTGTGCCTGAAGCAGAACCTACTCTTGGACTTCTCCATTCCCGGAGGCAATACACTCCTTGTTAGTGTTAGCAACTTTGCCTGGTTTCTGTTACTTGCAGCCACATGTGTTCTGACTAATACAGAAGGCTATTGGGGCTCAAAAAGCAGATAGGGAAGACATCTGCGGAGATGGGGAAGCTAAGGAAAGGAACAGAAGTGATACAGCTTGAGAAGAGTTAGCATCCTCCTCTTGGGTTAGAATCCCCGCTGTGTTCCTTACTGCCTCTGATAAAGTGATTATAGAGGGGAGACTGTCCTTCACTCCTCCCTCTGTACGTCCTTACAATGTGACTTTGCCACTCTTCCCATCAAGAGATAAGTCGATTTCCCCACCCTTTGAATCAAGGCTGACCTTGTAACTTCCTTTGGCCACGGAGAAAGCGATACTGTGTTAGTTACAAGCTTAGGCTTCAAAAAGCCTATGCAGCTTCCGCTGGCTCTCTTGGACCCTCGCCATGACCTCACAAACACATCCAGGCTAGCCTGCTGGAGGGTAGGAGACTGAAGGCTCCCCAGCCAACTGCCACCCAGCCCCCTGAAGCAGAGCCATCTAGCTGCTCAGAACT